TCATTCACCCGAGCCGGGCTAAAATGCCGGCTTCGGGTGGATAGGGGGGGAGGAGGGATTCCCCCCTCATTCATCCGAGCCGGGCTAAAATGCCGGCTTCGGGTGGATAGGGGGGGAGGAGGGATTCCCCCCTCATTCACCCGAGCCATGCGAAAATGCTGGGTTCGGGTGGATAGGGGGGAGGAGGGATTCCCCCCCATCCACCCGAGCTGGGTGAAAGGGGGGAAGCCGGGCTGGCTAGCTGGCAGTGCTTTGCCATGATCGGTTCCCTGCTTGGGGAACGGATCATGGCAAAGCAATGGTTAATAGCTGATGGGCGGTTTCAAAATGGTCGCCCGCTGTTTTGCCTCACTTAAGAGGCACAGAAAATGGCCGCCCCTATGGAGGATCTTCGCTGAACGGTGAGTTTTCAGTCCATTGGAACGCATTAACCGGGTTTTAATGTGTTTCAATGGGCTTTTTTATTTCGCTTTACGATGTTTCAGTATAGCGACGTTAATCTTGTAACGGATTAACGTCGCTATGCGGGGCACCACTGTACCATTAAAATAGTGTATCAATACAATTAAAAATGATGTTGTATCACATCCATACAAGTCTCCTTCCTGCATTGTTTCCCCGTTTATATTTCAATGACCAGCACCAGCAACCTTCCCCCCCCCCATTGTTAGTGAAGTATTCTGAATTTCTGGATTTTATATATTTTATGATTTCTTTGTCTCTATTTCTCCTCCTTAATACTTTTTCACCGGCTACTTGGAAATTCTTAGCACCCTGCAATAAACCTGCATTTCAAATGCCTCTACCTTTTTTACAGCTGCCTGTGTTAAAATCAACAATGCCATACCACACCATGCCATGTCACAGAATAAAAAAAATAAACAATGTTAAGGAAAACAAACCAAGAAACTGCATTGTACAGTTCACATTCTCAAAGTCCATTTTCAGTTTCTGATGCATATTTTCATCTTAAGGAAATCTTTCTGGCCTTCCCTATTCTGACTTGTATTGCATGATACTACTGTGCACTGGATTTAAACGTATAACTGGTTCCATGTGTTGCAGTGCTCTAACAGTTAGGAAGAGATTCTTCATAGTCAACCAAAATCTGGCTTCTTGTAACTTGAACCCATTATTGCATGTCCTACATTGTGGGATGATCAAGAACAGATCCTGCCCCTCCTATGTATTACAGTCTTTTGATTATTTAATCATATCTCCCTCCCTTCAGTCTCCTTTTCTCAAGGCTAAACATGACCAGTTCTTTCAGTCTTTCCTCATAGAATTTGGTTTCCAACACCCCGACCATCCTTGTTGCTTTCTTCTGAACTTGCTCCAGATTCTTGGCATTCTTCTTAAAGTGCAATGTTCCAGAACAGCATACAACAAGATATGGCCTAAACAGTGCCAAATTTAGAGCAAGTAGTACTTAAAGGGATTTTGAAACTATACTTCTGTTAATGTAACCTAAAATAACATTTCCCTTTTTTTGCAGACACATTGTATTGTTGGCTCACATTCAGCTTGTGATCTACAACTCCTTCTTCCTCATAGTACGGTATTACTGAGCCAAGTATCGCCCATCTTGTAACTGTGTGTTTGGTTTCTTTCCCCTAGATATAGAACTTAGCAGTTATCACTGTTAAATTTCATATGGTTGTTTTCAGCCCAGTGCTCAAGCCTATCAAGATTTTTTTGAATTTTGTTTCTGTCTTCCAGAGTGTTAGCTATTCCAACCAATTAAACCTCATCATTAATAATAAAGTTGAAATGCACTGGGATCAGGACTGAGCCTTGTGGTACACCCTTGTTAACTCCTTCCAGTTTGAGAAGGAATTGTTGATAAACTCTTTCTGAGTATGATTCTGTAACCAACTGGGTTGGCAGTTGTTCTATCCAACCCACCTAATTAGCTTGCTAATCAGAATATCATGGGGCACTTTCTCAAAAGGTTTCTTGAAGTCACAATATGTTAAATCTACAGCATTCCAACAATCTACCAAGGTCACCTGATGAAAACATGAGATAAGATCAGCCTGGGAGGATTTGTCCTTGACAAATCCATGTTGGCTTCTAGTTATTACTGCACAGTTCAGTGGTTTAGGTCTCTCGCTGTGGAGCCAGAAGTTGGGAGTTCAATTCCTCACTGTGCCTCCTTGAGAGGAGCTGGACTCAATGATCCATAGGGTTCCTTCCAGCTCTGCAGCTGAATGGTTATCAAAGGTTATCATTATCATTGTTTTCAAGGTGTGTGAAGAAGCTGGGGAAAGTGAGAATGATTGTTTCAGTTGACTATTGAAATGCTAGGTAGTTCGCTTGCGTCTGGAATGAGTGGACCAGGAGAAGGGTGTTTGTGAAACTGCCTGTTAATTCTAAGGTTTTGCCATTATCTTTGTGAGAAAGAATTTTCAGGGCCATAATTCATTCATTATATGAGCTAATTAACAGAACTGGTTTCAGCTGAAGAGAATGGAAGAGGTGAGAGGTTACTTTGGAAAAATTACTCACTTCTAGAAGGTTTGGGGTGATTTGAGGTCTGATTGGTGCATCTTCTTGAAGGGTCTAGAAAGTGGAATAACGGGTATAAAAATGGAAAGAGAATTTGCTTAGTTTAGCTTAGTTTTTCTAAGGAGAATACTATGCTCCACCTCTGTCTTGCTACCTACTTGAATGTGAATATTAGCTTTGAATAGTGTTCTTATTTCCTGTGGGAACTATTCTGGAATTGTTCCTGCCTCAAGATTTGTATGCTTATTTGCTGCATAACTTTTTTGACAGCTTTTGGAACTATTGGAACTGTCTGTTGAAACTGGAACTTTGTTGTTTTCTACTAATTTTTGCAACTTCAATAAAACAATAACATTTTACAGCAGTTTAGTTATAATGGGAAGAGAGGCTTGTAAGTACTAAAGAAGGGCCTTGTCAATTCATCTGCTGGATACTTTACATTTTGTGGATATTTTGGTGTTCCTACTTGGCAAGGTTGGCACACACGCTAAATGCTTAACATTGCAATTTTTCGGTAACTCTCTGGAGCACTGAGTAGTCAGAATGATTCCCAGTTTAGGCAATTTTTCCAGGTAAGCATATTTTAGTCTCTGCAAATTGTGTCTAAATCAGATAAAAATCCCAGACTGCGATTCTGAAAATCCCATTCCTAATTATCATCGACTCTACTCAGTTTCATTATGGAAGAAGTCTCATTTGTTAACTGCCAAGTACAAGAAGTCCAGCTACCACTTAGAAAAATTTAAGCATAAGAGTATAAAAAGAAGAGGTGTAATAAAATGTGACAGTGGACAGTGGGATGACTGATGCCACTACAATCTAAATACCTTTCTTCTTTAAAGATATAAAAAGCAAAAATACTGTGGTATGATATTATCCACAGCTGGAGATTATAAACAAACAAGTATATTGTTTGTTTATAATCTCTTTGTTTATACATGACTTAGAGCCCATTATCGGGCCTATTTCGTGGCAATACGGCTGGCGAAAAGGCAATATTTCTCCAGCCATATTGCTTCCACAGAATGTTGTCCAGCAGAGCTGTTTTGGGTGGTCTGGGATCTTCTTCAACTGGGAAATCTGGTGGAGGTCCCAGACTGCTCATCAGCTCACTGTGATGAGTTTGCCATTCATTTTGAGGGGGAAATCGCTCAGATTCACAGTGGGTTAGACTCCACCATTACTGCAGAATTAGAGGATGTGTCCAGTGTGCCATGCTTAGGTCAAGTATTAATGGATGAGTTTCAATTATTAAGACCTGAGGATATGGACAGGCTGCTTGGATCTGTCCAATCTCCCACCACTCTGCTCGACCCTTGCCCATCTTGGCTAATTGAAAGATCGGGGGGGGGTTCGCACCTGGGTCCAGGAGGCCATGAATGCCTCTTTGAGAGAGGGAGTGGTCCCTACTACCTTGAAAAAGGCGGTAATTAGCCCACTCCTAAAAATCCTAACCTGGACTCAAGGCTGGTGGTTGTTGGAGCGGGCTGTGGCTGGGCAACTCCAGGCGCTGCTGGATGAAATGGATTTTCTGGATCCATTTCAATCGGGTTTCAGGCCAGGCTTTGGTACAGAGACTGCCTTGGTCGCCCTGTACGATGACGTTTGCTGGGAGAGAGACAGGGAGAGTGTGACACTGTTGATATTCCTGGACCTCTCAGTGGATTTCGACACCATCGACTATGGTGTCCTTCTGGATAGGCTAGCTGGGTTGGGAGTTGGGGTCACTGCTTTACAGTAGTTCTGCTCCTTCCTGGCTGACCATGTCCAGAGGGTGGTGCTAGGGGACAGCTGCTCTGCCCCATGGCGTTTGTGTAATGGAGTTATTCAGGGCTTGATGCTGTCCCCCATGCTGTTTAACATCTACATAGAACTGCTGGGAGAGGTCATCAGGAGGTTTGGGCTGAGGAGTCAGCAATATGCTGAGGACACTCAGCTCTACCTCTCGTTTTCCACCAATCCAGGTGAGGCAATTTCTGTGCTGAACTCATGTCTGGACTTGATAATGGACTGGATGAGGGTTAATAAATTGAAACTCAGTCCAGGCAAGACAGAAGTGCTGTTAGTGGGTGCTTTGCCAGACAGACTGGAGGGCCATTTCCTTGCCCTGATTGGGGATGTATTCCCCCTAAGGGACATGGTCCGAAGCCTGGGGGTGCTCCTGAACCCCAGTCTAACTCTGGAAGCCCAGGTGGACTCGGTGGCCAGGGGCGCCTTCCTTCAGCTGCGGAAATTCAGCTACGGCCCTACCTGGATGAGCGGAGTCTCATGACAGTTACACATGCACTCGTATAGATTACTGCAATGTGCTCTACATGGGACTGCCTTTGAAACCGGTCCAGTGACTACAACTGGTCCAGAATCGAGCTGCGCGGTTGGTGAATGGTAGGGCCGCTAGGGGACACATCAAGATGATTCTGTTTAAATTACATTGGCTACCAGTTGCTGCCCGGGCCCAATTCAAAGTGCTTGTTTTGACATATAAAGCCCTAAACGACTTGGGCCCTGGATACCTGAAGGACTGCCTCCTTCCATATGAACCTACCCAGCAGTTGAGATCTAGCCAGGGAGCCCTTTTGAAAGAGCCATCCCTCAAGGAGGTAAGAAGGATAGCTTGTAGACAAAGGGCCTTTTCAGCAGCGGCCCCCAGACTATGGAACGCCATCCGAACTGAGATTCGTCTGGTGCCAACTCTGATGACATTTTGGTGCCAGGTCAAAACCTTTCTGTTCTGAAAGGCCTTTAACTGAAATATTATCAACTGTCCTGACTGCTATTTTTAGAGTATATATTTTAATTATATTATCTTTTTACTGTATTTAAATTGTTATAAGCCGCCCAGAGACCTTTGGGTAGTGTGGGCGGCATATAAGTTAAACAAACAAACAAACAAACAAACATTCAACAGAAGTTTAATGAATGGAATGGTAGATTTTAGATAATAAATCCAATTGTTACCAATATGCAGCAGACTAAAAATTCGAATGTTACCCACTAAGTGAGTGTACCAACAATTGTCTATTACACTTTAGCCAAAATCCTGCTGCTTAGAGTAATAACTTGCACTAGAGTAGGCCCACTGAATCAATTGAGATTTGATGAGCCAAGTACTCTGCAAGTTCCACTGAACAAAAAGGGCCAATTCTAAATGCAATTTACTTCAGCATGATTTTGGCTATTGTCTCAGTACTCCTCAGTACTAAACTGTCTGCATTTCAAACTTTTAAGTATGTTTAAATTGTTATATACACTGATTAGGCTTCATCTTGAGTCCTATGTCCAGTTCTGAACACCACACTTAACAAACTGGAACAAGTTTAGAGGAGGCAATAAGGATGATAAGAGGGCTGTAAACCAAGCCCTGTGAGGAAAGACTGAAAGAACATATTTAGCCTTGAGAAAAGCATGTTTAGCCTTGAGAAAAGAACACTGAAGGGAGATATAAAAGCACTTTTTTCAAATACTGTCATGCAAAAGTGGGGCAGGCAGGATCTATTCTCAGTCGTCCCACAGTGCAGGGCACCTAATAATGGGTACAAGTTACAAGAAGACAGATTTTAATTGAAAGTCAGGAAAAAAATTCGTAACTGTGGCATTCAAGTGAAAATTGGACAACCATTTGTCAGATCTAATTTCATTTGGATTCCTGCACTGAGCAGGAGGTTGGACTTGATGGCCTTATATGCCCCTTACAACTCCATTATTCAACGACCACACAAATCATTTAAAACTTTTTTGCCGAAAGAAATAAGAAAAAGACTTGCATCGTTGCATGGCAGTACAAATCAGTTTTAGTTAAATATTAAGTCAAAACAGCAGGACAACCAAATTATATTTTTAAAGCTCAGAATTTTTACCTTTCTCACTGCTACTTTAGATTTTCTTTGACTGCTTTGGACCCTGACAGGACTATCCATTGTTACAAATTTTGTTTCCAATGAAGAATTCAGCAGTTTCTACAGAAAAAAGAATTGACTTAATGAGATAATATATTTTAAATCAACCTCTGTTAACATTTTTAAATACCAAGAGAAAATGAAATTAATATGTGACTGCTACCAGTGAGCCAGTTTTACCATTAACTACCATATAATTAGTCAGTCTAATTATACCAGGATTCTTCCTGCAAGTGTAACAGACTCAACAATCTACCTTAAGAGCCTTCTGTGCTTTCACTGAATACATGCTAGAAATTTTTTTTTTAAATTTGTTGGAAGAAAACAACTTGTGTTCCACAAATATGATTACCATGTTGTCATCACCAATCTATCCCCTTTCTGCTCAATACATATGTCAACTGCTACAGAATGAGAATCTCAACTATTCCCTGTGCTTTACAAGAGCATTTTCTTTCACCAATGTCCATTTCTCTCTCAATGTCGATTGAGAGAACCTTACTATTCACCAAATCCCCATATGTACATTTTAAAAAAAGGAAAATGTGGAAATTCACTCCTTTTCTTCATGCTGTACTGCAAACAACTTTGCTATCAAGTTTTTTGTAACTTGAGGTAATCTTTGGCTTCAGCACTGGGAGCCTTAAGCAACATTTCTTAGCCTTGCTTCTTTGAGACAGTGCTCCAATACACTCAGAGTTTTTGAAAAGGAAAATGTATCCATCTATCTTGGATTTAAATGTACTGGGTGTTTCACACCTTTTGAGAATTCTTTGAGACCTGGAATTTTCCTACAAATTCACCTGAACTTGGAAAAATCAAGGCTGTGGGAGAGGGTTTCCACCATTCCCAGTCCTCCTCTTCCTACCACATTTATTTGTTGGGAGGTTACAGCTTTATATTTCCAGTTCTCCGCAATGAGTGTGCTCAAAATTTCCACTGTCAACAGGAACCAATGTAGTAAAGGTTTTGATTTTTTTAAATTCCTCAAAGAAACATACCTCTCAGGATAAACAGTACAAGATCAGAATACAAGGCAAAGTCTTCATTCAGAGCCAAGATTCTTAGAAACTGCAGTTTTCATTTTGTCCTCCAACTAGTTCCCCAGATCATGACAACTGTAACAGTTTTACAAAGAAAGGGGGAAGAAGTTTTACAGAGGATCCCAGAAGTGGCCCCAGAAGATGACTCCACAGTGTGCATACCTATTTACAGTTGGTATAGTGGTACCCATCTCTAACCTAGTGCCCCTTACATATTATGAACTATAAAACCCATTGTTCCTCGCCATTGGATACTGTAGGTGGGGCTGATAGAAGTGACCATTTAAATATCTAGAGGGCACCAGTTTGGAAAAAGATGGCCTAAACTTATGCAAAGAATTCTTAGCTAGGGAGGACATTTGATCAACCAGTATTGTCACTGGATACAAGAACAAATCTGCACGGCAAACTGGATAATTTAAGTACACTATAGCTTTATTTGAAACACAATAAACAAAAGTTAGCCAGGCAAGGTCTCCAATCTGTATGGGCTGACTTTTTTTTATTCCCCCCCCGGGCCCAGTCCATTACAGTGTCTGGCTACTGATTCAGAGCACCCACTGCCCCACCCGGATTAATTGAAAAACAGGAAAGGGAGAAAAGAACTAGGTGCCAAACATATATCAGAAATATGTAGTTCATTCCACAGTTCTGGATGCCTTCTCTTATCATTTTCACGAAGATATCAAACCACACATAATGGACAAAACAGAACAATCTAGAACCCTATACTGTAAGTGCTACATTGTTGACCAATAATCTGCTATTACTACCTTTTAGAATCAGCCATAAAGATAAGGGTGGCCCCAACAGAACACAGTATCTCCATGCTAATATTAGACTATCTATTCAGAAGGAAAATATTGTTGATGGTACTGAATATCACTGAGAGATCCAAGAGAATCAAACACATAAATCCCTTGTCACTTCACCACAAAGAGATAACATTTAAAAAGCAGCTAGAATAGGTGTGGATTTCTATTTGATCCAAGAGTTCAGAATGCAAGACTAGCCTAGAAGCCTCAGCTGCTATTTCCCCCCCCCTTCTCTTAACGTGATGTGGAAAAAAGAGACTGTTCTCCTTATGCAGTCATGCCCCGCTTAACGATTACCCCGCATTACGACGAATCCACTTCACAATGGTGTTTTTGCAATCGCAATTGCGATCACAAAACGATGTTTTAAATGGTTTGGGAACCGATTCTTCGCATTACAACGATCAAAACAGCTGATCATCGGGTTTTCAAAATGGCCACCAGGTGCTCAACATGGCTCCCCACTGTGCTTAGGGATGGATTCCTTGCTATGCAGGCACCGAAAATGGTCGCCATATGGAGGATCTTCGCTGGACGGTGAGTTTTTAGCCCATTGGAACGCATTAACCGGGTTTTAATGAGTTTCAATGAGTTTTCTATTTTCGCTTTATGACGTTTTCGCTTTACAGCGATTTCGCTAGAACGAATTAACGTTGTTAAGCGAGGCACCACTGTATACTACCCTACAGTGCTTAAAGCATTCTCTGGGCGCTCTACAATGCAAGTATGCAGGCTACATATTGCCCCCCCTCCACAAGATGGGTACTTAATTTACTGACTTGGAAGGATAGAAGCCTGGGTCAACCTCAAGACAGCTCCCTGGGATTGAATCCAGATTGTGAGCACAGTTTTGGCTGCAGTACTGCAGTTTAACCAGTGCACTACGAGGCTACTAAAAAGTGGAAAGTAACATAAACGCCTTGCATTGAACAACTCCTGGAAGATTGGGGTTTGGATCATGCTGGTTTTCAGAGCTTCTAAGTTACCAACTCTATATTTCCAAAATGCTTTCCCATCTCCTTAACAATACAGAAAACAGAAAAAATGTTGATCTGCTACTGTTTCATAATGACTTAAGATAATATTATCTGGAGGACTGCCTGTTTAAAACTTATGCAAGATAATCTTTGACAAGTCATTGTCAAAGGCTCAGCCCATCTGCAATATAAAAACAACACTGTTTTACATTACTGGGTTTACTCCCTAAGGATGCAATAAGATTGGCAAAAATTATGGGGAATGCTCTGGGATATGGATAGGCTGACCCATTTTTTCCACTCATGACATATTCAAAAGGAAATGCAAAAGGAATCAGTCCAGAGTTTTTACCCCCTCTGCCGGTGCTTCTACTTAAAACAAAAACAGATTCATTCATATTGGTTCAGTCGGTGTGCTTGCTTGTAGAAACGCAGAAAAGCCACTGTGCCAGCACGTACTCATAGGAAAAGGGAGTAAAGTCTCTGCTAGCAAAACTATTTTTACAGTGGAGTCTCAACTTCCGAACGTCCCTACTTACAACCATTTTGAGCTATGACCAGCTCCGGCCCAAAAATTTGCTTCTACTTGCGACCAGAGCTTCCACTTCCGAAGGGGGAAAAAGCAGGAAATTCAAATTTCTAACTGTAGGTGGCGACGAGACTGCTTCTTTGTAGCTCTTTTGCCCCAGTAGTTAGAGTGTGTGCATCAGAGGAGGCTTGGGACTGCCTCCTTCTGAGCGAGCGTGTGTGTGTGTTTGTACAGAGGCTTCAGGCTGCCTGGTAAGGGAAGGCGCTGTTTTCTGCTTTTTAAAAACTGTTCTGGGTGCTTTTGCAACATGGTTATGAGCTGGGGGCGTTATGTTTCTGTGCTGTGATGGGTCTTGGGGGTGCTTTTTTGTTTTTTGGCTTCCCCTCTCCATTTCCAATGGGCCTTGGGGGGTTTGGTTGCTTTTTTGGGTTTTTTCCCCCATTTCCGATGGGTCCTGCATGCTTCCCTTGCTTTTTCCTTTGTTTTCTTTGCATTTCCGACCTGCCCCCTTTGTTCTCTGTGCATTTCCAATCTGCTGCGTTTGTTTTCTGTGCCTTTCCAATGGGTCTTGCATGCTTGATTGCTTTTTTCTCCCCTCCCCCCTTTGGTTGGAAGATCTTGCATGCTTGATTGCTTCCCCCCCCTCTTTGGTTGGAAGGGATTGATCACGTTTCCAATTAGTCTTGCAGTGGGTTTTTTGGGGTGTGTGTGATTTTTTCTTCAGCCAGAACAGATTAATTGCATTTCAATGCATTCCTATGGGAAATGGTGCTTCGACTTACGACTATTTCAAGTTACGTCCAGCTTCTGGAATGGATTATGGTCGTAAGTGGAGGCACCACTGTATTTTAAACAGCTTGGGAATGGTCAGCAAAGCCTATCTTCATCAATAAGACTTTTTTCTTTTTAAAACAATTTATGATGGCAAGCACTGCCTCTCTCCATTGGCAAGATTTTTCTCTAAGAAAACCAGCTTAGGAAATGTGAGCACATCCTCCCTCTGTGAGCAAGATTTAAACAAAATTACAGCTTACGATAAAAAGAGGAAGAAATGAGAGTAGAAAACCCTAGTTTACATCTGTAACCAACAGAGCAGCACACAAGCTACAAACATGCTTCTCTCCCCTCTTCCTGTGTGGCCACTTATGCAAATAGATTTATGGAAACCCAAGTTCCCAAATGTGACTTCACAGTGAGTGAATTCACATTTTCCTCACTTTGTAGTCATACTCTCAATCATATACATTTAAACATTACTACTGTGATCTCTCTCGCTGTCTCTGTCTGTGGGGGGGGGAGAATGTTAGTAATAATTCACTGACTAGGCAGATTTATTGATGTGTCTTCAAAAGAATTTAGCAGATAGAAAGATGACTGCATTTTGGTCACTGCCTGAATGAACCAAAAGACTTTAGTTTTCTCAATATTCACTTTGAAATTCTGCTGTAATTTTCAAAAGCTGGCACAAAGTCCACAAAAGCCAGAAAAAAGAGAATTATAGCAGAAGGGGGGGAGATGTATATTTTTCACTTCAGTAAAAAGTAGTGATCAATTCTTATCAAAAAACAAGGAATAATAGTGGAGTTCCTATTTATGTGCGGATATGGTTAGGTCAGTACAGAGTTTGCTGGTGTGTCTTCTGGCTGCAATAAGACGCCAAAATTAAGATCTGTCATTACCTTCGAGACCATTCAGG